GGGAAAGGGGGAGGGAGGAGGGGAGAGACACAGGGAAAGGGGGAGGGAGAGAGATGGGGAGGAGGGGAGAGACACAGGGAAAGGGGGGAGGGAGAGAGATGGGGAGGAGGGGAGAGACACAGGGAAAGGGGGGAGGGAGAGAGATGGGGAGGAGGGAGAGACACAGGGAAAGGGGTGAAAGAGGCAGAGGGGGAAGAGAGAGACAAAGAGGGAGAAATGAGAGAGAGACACACAAGGGGAGGGGAAGAAAGAGGCAGAGGGGGAAGAGAGAGACTGGGAAGGAGAGGGGAGACATTGACACAGAGGAGCAGTGAGGGGGAGAAAGAAACATACAGAGTGACTGGGGGAGACAAAAAGGCACACAGAGGGGCTGGAGATAAAGAGACACACATAGGGGCAGTATATATCACAAAGCCCCCAAGGCTTTCCCCTGCCGGCCGATCTCCCTCCCCGTTCCACAGGCACCGTGCAGCCAGTCGGCAGGGGAGGAAGAGAGGACATGGGGCAATGCTCCGGCTCTCACGAGGGTGAACTCTAGCCCTGGAGCTACGGGCTAGAGTTCACTCTCACCACTTCCTGGTGGTCCCAGTAGTAGGAGTGAACTCTAGCCCCATACACACACTGCCCACCCACACACTGAACCTTTCACACACATTGCACCACTGCTCCTATACCCTACTACAGCCCCATATCCCAGCAGACTCCAGGTAAGTTGTCAAACTGTTCTTAAACGGTTTGACGACTTACTCTGGGAAGGGGTGCCGACGCTCCTGGCACCATAACCACTACACAGAGGAGTAGTGGTTATTGTGCATGGAATATTTCTTTAAAAAATCTACAAGTGCCCCTCTCAGGCTCAGGCTCTGGATCCGCCATTAGTATATGACATGTATATTAATGTGTGTATTAGTTTTTTATATATATATATATATATATATATATATATATATATATATATATATATATATCTATTATATTTACACATATTAATGTACATTTATAAATGCATAATACTAAGAGAAATTTCATTAATATGTATCATATGTAATGAGCAGATATTGGCCCAGTCTTGTTGCTAGGTGCATACTCCAGCATAATAACATATTTAAAGTGAAGAGCACACCCACAGGACTTCAAAATAAAAAAATTTCAGTTGTGCCCTACATACATTCACCATTTCAGTTCCATTAACAAGCTTTCCTTAATATGTCAAGGTAGTTGGACTGAAACATTGATTACATAGAAAGGCACGTCTGCTTAAAATAAATCTGCACTTTTGTTTATTTTGAAGCCTATGAGTGCGCTTTTTACGTTGAAGTACTTTTTAATTTTAAGTTATCTGTTCTAACTCTGTATCTGCACACTATGCTGGCACGATGCATTATGGGGCTGGTAAAAAATTTTTTTCCAGGGCTGCTTTTAATTCCCAGTCCGGCCCTGTATAGGACTCAATTTAAGATCCTGATACTTGCTTACAAATCTCTACACAATGGTGTGACAACCTACTTATCCTCACTAATAAACTTATATGTTCCATCTAGGCCCCTATGCTCCGCCTAATACCTACGTCTAACCTCTGTTCGTAAT